GCCAATTATACGTATATTGATACTTTTTTAATGTATTCTTATTTTTAAACTGTAGTTACATCTAACTTATCAATGCGATAAAATATAAACGATGAATCTAAAGATTTTCGTTATTCAAATCGTTTTCTACATGTTTCACGCACGCATTTTATATATATAGAAATAAAATTTTACATTTCAAAGTAAGATCTTTTGAACGAAAGAAGTCACAGAAAATTGCAGTCACAATAGAAACGTATCGGAATTTTTGATAAAAGAATACTTGACCGTTTTTGTGAGATCCTCCGATTATAAGAAAACGTATGTACGTAAGCAAATATAAAATTTTCTATTAAAGTTAGTCGAAAGAGAACATCAAATTCTCTGTTATATCACATTCGATAATTCATATTTTTATGCAAAAACTTTAATATAAATTGAAAAAAATTGATGTGATGTAATTGTTAACGTTTCACGCTATAATAGCCAATAAAACAGCAATTTCGTGTTTGTTGAAATTAATCACGACTATATATAACGAGTAGGATTATATTATCTGTAGAAGAAACATTTATTTACAGTATTTAATATTTCAGCGTATACCAAAAAAGGTTTCGAATTATTTTTTCTGTTAATTTGCATTGTCATCGCTGATTGTTTTTATTAATCATTATTAATCTTTTCATTAAAAGAATAGTTGATATAGTCGAGATAAAAAATCTTATAAATCTAAACCAACAATACACTTTAATACAAATTTTAAAAGAAATAACAATCGTGTGAATTGAAATAAAGCTAGAAATTTTTTAAAGAATATTACATTTAATTATATCATAATAGTCTAATATTTTATTTTGAATGCTTTATGACTCTATGTTACCAGTATTTCAATATACAATGTAAAAAATTGTCTGATATTATTTGTTGTTTAGATTGTTAAGAATAAAACCAGAATTCCCGAAACACTTCATGTATACGCGGTGGTTTTATGCACTAGTATTTGTCGACTTGTATAACACGACATTAATTTTCGCGTGCATGGCCCATTATTTCCGCTTTCATTTCCGACTATGAAACGTGCGCATATTACATTGTTCAAAGGGCGAGTTCAAAATTGTATAAAGAACTTTGTTACTATATTTGCGATTAAAAAATAACGAAAAATATTTCCATCAAGATGTAGTTAAATATTTCCGCTTTATTTAGGACTCGAATCGTAGATATAATTTAATAAATAATATTTGATGCATTTTGATTATTATGAAAAAGATGTACAATATAAAAGCATTATTTTAGTTTTAAGTAACATTCTTTAAGTATAACATTCCGTTTTCCATTTTCCATTCGCATTTTAGGATAAAAGTAGTTAACGAAATTGGAGGCTAGAACATTTAAAGCATAAACCTGTCTTTATTTAATGAGCATGTTGTTTCTTTACAAACCTTTTTCTTAAATTTCTTCTGCTTCTCTAACTTCAAAGCTTCGTATATCAACATGAAGTAAAATGGAGTTTGCACTATAAAAGTAACATCTTCATTTGCGGTCGCTTAAGGGAAGACTCTGTCGAGGATTTAATCCTTTTAATGTTAAAAGATGGTTTGCATATATATACATATAATAAAATTGTAATTTGTTGAACATTTTAATATTTTAGTTACGGTGAGACTCTGAAGTCTTTGTATCATAAAAATAATTATGTTACGTCAAATAATCCGTTTCATTTCTTTGTAAAATTAAAAAATGTACTGTAATAATTATTATAATAATAACTTACTTTTGACATGTTACAATAATATTACGTATAATATGTAATGTAATAATTATTATAATAATAATTTACTTTTGGTGTGTATACAATAAAACAATTTCTATTTTATTTATTCTCTTTTGGAGTAAAAAAATCTTACTCTAAGAAAGTTAAAATATTGCCACTATTGGAAAAAGAAATAAAAAATGTGCATTCTTAAGTAAGAGTGACAAATTGTCACTTTGTTTTGGAGCGAATCTCATTCTAAAAAAAGCGTGACAAACAGCCATTCTTATTCAAACAAATTTTTCATTCTTTTTCAATAGTAACATAACTTTAACTTTTTTGGAGTGAGATTTCATTCCAAGAAATGTAGAGTGTAGATATTATTTTTTAACTGTTTCATTGAAATGAGTACAATCTATGTTTATAGTATTTTTCGATACTTTTGATTTGGATTATAGTTGCAGACAACTTGCAATAGCATCATATTGCAGTTACTTCCTTTTTTTCAATTTTTGTATAACAATAGAGTTTTAGAAAGATGAATAAAAAAATTGTATCGAGACGCAATATCTTTCGATTATTAGATTAACAAAATCGGTGTTGCGTGTATTCGTTCCCCGATAGAGGCATTAAAAAATAACGTTGAAAAATCAGTTACTGCATGCCTGCATGCCATCTGCGATGGCACATGTTTATTCGACGCGCGAGAAAATCGCTTTCGACGCTTTCTGCCGTGCAGAGTTTTGGACGTTGCATCGGTATACGGCTGATTCCGCGACTCTGATCGACTCGTTGCAAATTGCATGAGAGGATTTTTATGGACGTGTGTGTGATGCGTGAATGATACATAATTTTCGTATGAACGAACATACTCGCACAATTCGCACTCTCAAATTAAAGATATCGTATAAAGAGGATAAATTGTTACCGCTACGTATCACGATTTCTATTTTTCGCTTCAATTTCATTGACGATAAAGTTAACGGCATACAGGTAAAGAAAATCGATAAAAACGCACCCAATTTGCCAATCTAAAAATTTTGTGCTAAAACATATTTATCAGAGAGGTATCAGAGAAATTAAACATTATGTTGAATTAAATGTGTAAAAGGGAAGAATTATTTTTAGCGCGTTTTACCTTCCGCGCGTACATTTCGGGGCCGTTTTTGGCGCAAAAAGAGCGTAACGTGCACGCTATAAAACGTCGTCGTGGGTGTGGAATATTCGCAGAGTTCGCGTAGACGCAGCTTTAAACGCGTCCATTTACTGTAGAGGTTTTATCGCTGTCATATATAATCGGTCGCGTCCGTTTTATCGTCGCTAAAAGACGCGCCCGCGCAATCGGACGTCGGACGTTGATTCTGATTCGGCTGTGCTGTAAATCATCGGCGTGAGTGTCGATTCTCGAAAATTAACGAGGTCGGTGTTTTTCCTCCCTTCAAAATGTGCGAAAAGAAAAGAAGCGATAGAGGAAAAAGAACACGGTTTTCGATTTTGTCCGAAGTAATAATAATGTTCTATTAAACAGCCAATTTTGAATGACATGCTTATCAAAAATAAATTATATATATAAATAATGTATTTGTATTATTGTATGATTTTTAATAAAGTCACTTATAATTCACATACGAACAATTACTGTTGGCTCACATTGACAATGACTTGATATTTTATTTAAATTGATTATATGGTTAATTGTTCGTGAAAAGTTACTTTTTATTTACATATGCAGATTTTTGAAAGTTTTAATTTTTTTTATAAATGTTCATACATTGTACATACTGCACAATAGCCATGTTTGATGCAAGATCGCGATAAGAAAAAACGCATTGTCATTATGAGATTATCCAAGAGACGAGATCTCGAAAATAAAATCTACGTCTCGTACATCCTAGAATTATCCATTTTGTATGCAAAAAGCTGAAATTCGACATGTAGATCTCCTCAAAAATTATGCTGAATATATATCCTCGTATCACGTTCCCCTTTTTGTTACTTCCCTATTTCGCGCATTTTGTGTGCACGTACACGGAAAAAAGAGTAGCTGAACAAGCCTTTTTCGTGGCGACTTTTACTCGGTTACAAGGCATGCTCGGATTCGTCTCTGATATCGTACATCAGTTCGACAGTTTTTTTTAGCACTGCACTGAAATTTGTTGGTGCATACTTTTTGCTCCCTTTACGAATGATAAATGGCCGAAATAGAGGCTAAATTAAAACAAGGAAATATCAACAAAAGTCGTTACTCCATAACTCGATCGCGATAATAGTCTTCGGTAGATTGCCAGATTATTATGCCAGATAGGAGGATTCTTTTTGAGAGAGGAATTTCTTTGAAGGAAAAAAGTCAATGTAAAAAGTCGAATTCGGTCTGCAACGAGAGAAAACGAATGCAAATAAACACGAATAAATAATTTGCTTTAACGAACGACACTGTTGCTTACAATTAGTCCTCGCGACCGAAACTTCGTATGAATATTGATTCTTCTATAATTCCGTGAAAAAATCATTTCCTCTTTATGAAATTGCGAATAAAATTTTGCGATATTTCTTTTCCTTTTAAAGATTTTTACTTGCTCGGTTTATAGAACACATTTCGCCACCTTATGAAACATGAAAATGTTCGAGTAGATTCCACGGGATTGTTTACGTCTCCCACGAGGTAAAACTGAAACTTTCAGTAGCACACGCGGTCGAACTCTCACGGATATGTCTGTTGAAACAACGTCCGGTTGAATAACTAAGAAGATGATTGATACTTTATGTCCGCTGCGATAATAAAATTTTTATAACTATCCAAGGACAAGCTACTTGATCTGCATTAATAAATAATAGTGCGGATCACTTTGTGCAGAAATATAGTAATTAAAAAATATTTAAATTAACTGTAAAAATTTAACTGTATCGAGATATCAGTTACATTTTTTGTCTAAATGCACGAATAAATTGTCCTTAGAACACAACAATATTTTGGATAAACAAGATCCATACAGCAAGAAACTCTTGTTTTAATTATGAAAGTGAATTCAGACATACGGTATATTCTGCCTTTTTCTTTGGGACAAAATATTTTACTCACGTGTATTTGCGTAATTAATAATTCGAGCAATACAATACAGCAGGTTTCTATCGAAACACCGCAGGCAATAAATTAATAAAAAATGAATCAGCTCGCGTATAGAATGATATAAAGCAAGGAATAGAATCGAGACGAGGCAACGAAGCTTGTCGATAAACTCACTTGCCGTGTTCTCGTTTAACTGCGCAGGTTACGGCAACATTTGTCCCAAGACGAAATGGGGCAAAGTCGCGACTATAGTGTACGCAATAATAGGGATGCCGCTTTTTCTTCTCTACCTCAGCAATATCGGTGACATTCTGGCCAGAAGCTTCAAGTGGACCTACGCCCGCTGTTGCTTGTGCAAGTAAGACCGTTTTGCTTGTCGTAAAAATGTGTCACATTCCTATCGATTTTTTCCACAGTATCATGTGTCACATTTCTATTCATCTTTTCAGTACCTATCCTTTTCGATAGTGTAAGATCAGATTTAAAACCGTCATCGTCGAATTAATCTCGATCGATTTTTCAAGATGTCGAAGAAGACCGTACGATGCGGCAAGCGCGAGAGCGTCGGAGATATCGAATGATCCGGCTGCGAAAAGAGAACGGTGGCAGGTAAGACGATCGTTGCAACCAGAATTACAATCCGGAGTAGTAGAGAGCAAGTCTTTTTCACACAAATTCTCTCAGAATTATTTCTAATATTCGAAATCTCTCTAAAACGAAGACCGAGCTAAATCAAATCTTTTTCAATATCAAAGACATTAATGTCTTATTGTTACAAGCGAATTCTGATACGTTTAGGATACCAAACAGAGAATATTCAAAGAACATTTGTCTGTAGATTGTTAGCACGTATGGCGAAGAGGTAGATACGTCGAGCTTGAATGTAGAAGAAACTTTACCTAGAGACGACGGTGAAGTTAACGGAAACGATGGTGATGACGAAGACGATGACGACGAGAGCGACAGCTACGATCCTCAGCACGTCACGGTGCCGTTAACTCTCTGTCTTGCTATTATGGTGGGGTGAGTATCTGACGAGCGAGATAATAGAGAGAAATAGGGTTAATTAAAAGAATCACTTTTAAAGAACATATAACAGGTAAATGAATTACTTAAGAAAAAAATGATAAAAATTCTACTCCTCTTGATAGGAAAAGTTTTTTTAAATAGGTATTTTAAGTTCTTTTTAGTAAATAACTCGAAAGAGAAAGAGATATATCTAGTATAATGTTACTTTTTAAAAATTAATATGAAATAAATATCTTTTTACAATTCTTTCTGGTATTATTTAATATGAGAAATTGTAAGTATCTATAACCTTCGAAATTAAAAATTGCCACATTCTTTTCAATCCAAATTAAAATACTATTAAGGTTAACTAAAAATTACATATAATTTCCGGGCGCATTATATTGCAATTTCAAGTGTGTACTGATGTTCAGTTCGAGAATGAGTTTACAAGTTTAATGGTCCACGATTAAACTTAATGTCACTTTCTATCGAAAATTGAGGAGAATCGCCAGAAAAATGGTCCGGAACTGACAGTACTTTATTTTTTGCTTTCGATAGATATATTTGGGGCGGCGCATTTCTGTTTTCCACATGGGAGGATTGGAATATGCTGGATGGTTCTTACTTCTGCTTCGTTTCTTTGTCGACTATAGGTTTCGGCGATATTGTTCCTGGCGACGAATTCTATTCCGGGCAAGGCATCGATTTGTCTTTCATCATGTGTTCTATGTATCTGATGCTTGGTAAGCTTTACATATACGTATACAATGACTCATTTCTTATTATTTACATGTAAAAATCAATTTCAGAGCTTCTATCAAGAAAATTCTCTCAACTACTCAAAATTAAATGTTCCCTTATAAATAAGACGTATTCATTATTATTATTATTACGTTATGGACTAAAGAAATATAAAAGCATTCGGTTTAATCATGTATTTTAATCGATAGTAAAATTAGAGTAAAAAATACTTAATATTTTAAGGAGTAATCCGATTGTCACAGAATTTTTGATGCTTAACGTTATACGATGCGAAGACAATCGTTTTAAAAGGGATTAACCGCTTTAAATCTTGCAACGCGATTTCATCCGTTGCTATACAGCTTTCCATACTGCGAGCGTATTAAGTTCGTTTTAATCAATATCCGATTGCCGTGCAGATTTTTCGTGAAAAATATTCGAGTGCTTCCAAATATTTCGACCGCTTCCATACGAGCGGCGCTCTCAATTTACGCAACAATTGAAACAATAATATCCGCGATGCTTAAAATCACGCTCTAATCTAATATTCGATACCGATCATTATACAGAGACATCAAATTATTCGTAATATGTATTTTCGTATTTTCAGGAATGGCATTGATCGCTATGTGTTTTAATCTCATGCAAGAAGAGGTGATCGCAAAGATACGCAATCTAGTACGCATCGTCAAGTACATCTTCAGATGTCAAAGATGACGAACGAGTTTTCATCGTGATTCTGCACCACCACTATTTTAATTGGTAAGTCAATAAATATTTCCGTTCTTGATTCAATAATGTAATTTTGCGATGATTTTTAGTTTTCACACAAGAAAAATTTAATTTAATTTTTCTAAAATTCTTCCAGTACTTTAGTACTAAGAAATACACATTTTTACGAGAAGATATCACTAAAAATCATTTCTTTTATGAGAAAAAAATGATTGCTTGTGCTAGATGCGATCCTTGCGAGCAAAGAGCAATCATTTGTATCGTCTAGATGTATCTTTGATGTTCTCTCTGCTCCCTTTGAATTCTCCTTCAAATCTTTCGTGAGACGTAGAGGCGTGAGTGAACGAACGATTGAGTAGAAGTATTGCACTACAGTAAAAGCAACAAGACAAAAATCGTAAACGATAAATTCTATACGACTATTCCGTGTCGCAAGGGAAACGCGAGTGATCCATTTGGTCTCCTTCGAGACCCCTAGGTTTTCCTTTAAAAGTTAAAAGTTTTATGAAGAAAGAATTAACGTTGTATATTTATTGCACCTGCAGCTAAATAGTTGTCCAAACTAGCACATTATAAGCATCAAAAATCAATTCTGCATTACATTTTTTTAAACAAATACAATTTTATGAAATCTTTTTTTCGGTAAATAGTTTACCGTTTCTAAAATTGCATGTTGGAATTTTTGATTATCCGATTATTGGATTATTTGACGAAGTGAGGAGAGAGAGAGAGATCAGACGTCACCGCGAGATAGATATATCAATATATCGATTTCTTTCAGTATATATGAGTATATATATGTGTGTGTGTGTGTGTATTATATATTTATATATATATATATATATCGACACACACACACACACACACACACACACACACACACACACACACA